AGAAAAAGAGACAGAGAGAGAGAGAGAGTAGGATAGGATGTGTATTACTCTCCAATGTTTTATAACCAGATTACTGTTGCGCTGAGCTGAAGTGTGTCACGGTTGTGGCAGTTTATGCGGCTAGGTTATTTAATTGGCTATGGATCGCATATAGAAAGAAGTCCTGTCAACAGGTACTAAGTGAATTTTATTATAATCTTGCACAGTCAGTACATTACTACATTATTATCCCTCTCTAAAATGAAAGAGGTAATATCTTCTTATTTTTGTTTTATTTTTATTTACTAATAAAACAAACAGTATAGAGCATTCTGCAATATATTTCACACAAATTGAACTTACAATAATCTTAACGAAGCAGAACACATTCTCAAATAAAGAAGTGACATGAGATTCCCTCATTCCCCTGTACATTTTCCTCCAAGCACCCAAAAGATAATTATGCATTCCTGAATTTTCTTGATTCTTTGAAATTTGAATTATTGAGCACGATTATCAATTTTATGTGTTAGACGACTGTGACTAGTGATGCTTACGGTTTTTCTTATTTCTGCTTGGATCTGTTCGGATTACATAAGTAGTCATGGATTTATTGCAGGAGAACTAAAATCATACGTATTTATCACTAGTTAGTATTCTGATTTATTTTTTCATCAGTCATCGCTAACAGTTGCACTTCCCATGCAGTGCTTCACTCAGCATGTTGCCATGGCCTAAGCCTCTAGTTTGGCCATCACTTCCACCAAATTCTTCATCTGAAATCCTAGAAAAAGAAAAGGTAAGATGCATGGCTATGAAAAAAATGCATCATCGGCTACGACTTTTTTTTCATAAGTCTTCAGTTTTCCTTACAAAGAGCTGAAGTGAATCAGAATTTCCCTAGCATTTTGAGTTGTATATTTCTGAAGGTAGAAAAATTTGCTAAAAATGTTTGATGAATGGTACTCAATTGCCTTATGGACTGAAATATAACAATATATCCCAGTTGTTTTTGTCATGCAATTGATTTTCACACAACTTACTTTGGCATTTGGTATTGCTGTGATTTTATGGTTTAAGATGGTATTGCCATTACTGAATTTATGATCTAAATGGACCCTTAATCAAAGATTTTGAGATTTTTAGTAGCCTTTTCATATAATAATCCTGCATTTTGTTAGAGATCATTTTTTTTTATTTAATTCAATAATTGGGATTTTGGGTCCATTTCCTTAGAATATCCATTAGGGTTATATTTAGGGCTATGACCACATTTAAATAGACTATGGAGTCAGCTTTAAGCTTAAGCGGGATATGTCCCGAGTTTTTTCCCAGTTATTTTCGTTCGCTTTCACCCTTCACTTTCACAATTGGCCTGACTTGCTATATTCACATATCGGACGACGTCATTAAGTGGGATGGAGTCACTAGAATCACACATAGGCATGATAGAGAAGGGTGTTGAGGACTTGCGCGTAACAATGACCAAATTCCAGTTGAACCTTTCATTATTGTTGTTGCGTGAAAAGGGCTTACCTATTGCTGGTAATGAGGGTTTACTATCTGCATTCCTGTTTCTGGTAAGTAACTATCTGTGGTCACTGGTAATGAGAATTCACTATCTGCTGTTTGTTACGAACCTTAGAGGATGCTTGGATACAATATTCTCAAAAAAATCCAAACATTTTAGCTCAACCACTTTTTTTTAACTCAAGTTTAACTCAACCCCACTATCATCAATATTATTAATATAATTTAATAATATCAATCAATCATTCTTACCACACCACATCAACTTTAATTCACTATTCATCAACTCGCATAATTTTAACTAACCATCACTTCACATCATCTCTCTCCTACTTTTACCTCAAATAAATTTTAATTATTTTATTTTAAATATTATTTTAATAAACCCACTAACAACTAACAATACCACATCTTTCAAAATTAACCAAACCAGAAAAATTCAAACAAAACCAAAAAATTTTATATCCAAGCATCCCCGTAGGGTACTGGATAAATGATGCGATGCATTCACATATGAAGATGCCCATATATATAGACTTAGGGCCTTTAGTATATATAGGCTGGGCCTGTAATATAGTTTGACAATTAACACGGTTGTCATGAATCACTAATTCTGCAAGCAAATATTTGGAACTTTCCAGTTATTGCAAATCGACTTCTTCCATGAAGTGAATACACGTGCATTTGGTTCTGCAACCAGATGAGACAACAATTTTGCAAGATCCTGCTTCTTACTCTTTGATTGCGGCCACTCATGGTGGTTCTCCTTTGGTGTCTGCTTGTTTCACTCACAACGCAATATAGAAGAAGTTAACATATTTTCCAGTGCCATCTGTTGTAGAGGATGCACCAGCATTTTTGGTTGATACATGTGCATTTGTGAAGACATCTTCGCGGGCACCCTAAGAGCCTATTTATTAGGGCACTTCATCTCAATCATTTGCAACAATTATCCTTGTTGTCTTCCCAACCATTCAAATTTATTGGTATAAGGATGGGGACACAACAGGCATCCTTCTGGTGGTGAAGATTAGGATGTGTTTCAAAGTCGACTTACAGCCTTGAGGACAAGGTTGTTCTGAACGGAGCGAGACTTGTTAGAAATCGATTTTAACTCATTTCAATCAATTTAGCAATTGGGCTTTTGGGCCCATTTGCTTCGAATATAAATTTGGTTTATATTTGATATAGGATTCTATTTAATTAGACTATCGTTTGATACCTAGGATATCTTTTGTTGAATAGGATTGTCGACTTTAAGCTTGGGCAGGAAGTTTAGGCCTTAGGTTGGGCGGGATTCGAACCGGGTTGTTCTCAGTTATTTTCTTTATTAATAATATAGATTATCTTTAACTTTCATTTGCTTTCACCCTTCACTCTATCACATTTGTACTTAAAAACGAAATGCTGATTGTGCTTATTCCTCTTCAGTGATATATTTCTCGTGGTTTTACTGCATTTTGTTCTGCTTTTAGTTGGATTTCACATGGACATTTAAAAGTGAATATATTTTATCTTGAGAAGATTTGTTTTGTGTCGTTGTCACAGTATGTTATGGAAGAACTTCTCTTAAAAGAAAACAGATTCTCATCGATCATTCTATTATATATATATATATATTTTATTTATTTATTTATTTATTTTTTACTGTTTTCAATATCCAAACTAATTGAAGACCCACTGATGCATCGGATTCTTGGACTTGTTGCACAATGGCCTTCAATTTTCTTTCAGACTTCCCACCGAATTTACACACAATGGAAGAAGAAAAAATCATACCATTTCGAAATAGAAGTTAATGTCTACTAAAACCATCGAGACTGTGCATTTAATCGTGAAGCCATGTGATGAATTTTCAATGGTGCTTACTGTTCATACATTAAATTTGTTGTGCAGATGAATCTTCAAGAATCTCCAAGGCCTAGGCACTTCGGCATCCAGAGGAAGCCTCTGCCCCTTGAGCCATCCATTCTATTGCGTGAGGCTAATCGTCGTAGAGCTTCTCTCTCAGCTGGAAATATGTTTGAAATGTTTGATGGTCGTCCTAATGCTACTGACGGGTAATGATGAGAATTGCACCAATTATATAGACATGTTTCTGGTTAACTGTATAGATTGTTGATAGATCAATGGGAAACAACTGGCTAGTCTTCAAGAGCACCATATCAAAGATAAACAGTTACCTTCTATGCCATGAACCACCAAACATCTGATCTGATATTTTTTCAAATGGCAGCCTCTCAAGTACTAACTTACTATGTTACTAGATTAGAAGAAGAAATTAACAAGACAAAAATGAAGAGAGAGTAATATAAAAAAATGGAGCCTTGGATTGATCTGGTTTAGATCTCAAATCTAATCCTCGGTGATTGTTATTAAATTTATCATTGACAGATATATGTTGTGTATGCTTAATGTTGCAAAGCAAAATTATTCCTTCACAACCACACACCTCTATTATCCTAAAGACTTTTGAAAAGTTACCGCCTTTTTGGTGGTGCTAGTGGTAACTTGTCACAGCTCCTAACTAGGAATTGTTGATAAGCCGTGGTGGTCCTCTGGATCCTACAGGTATACGAAGTATGGTCATGACTAGAGAACTGCATGAGTGTGCTTTTCTTGTATTAACATCTATAGTTGTCAGTAGCTGCTGTTAAAATGATATGAATGATCTTTCCAATGTTTGAGTCTTGATCTGTGGTGACTTGTGGAGTAACCTGCGTGGTATACTGGTACTTCCTTGGAAGATAGAGGAGAAATGTATGTGCTATGGATTATATATAGATTATCATAGGCTTAAACATGGGACTGTATAATTGTTGGTTTTCTTGTCTTCTAATGTGAGTTTTTGTTTCTTCACTGCTGTTATTGGTGGAAGTTGCATTTCTGGTAGTTTGTGAATATTGAATTCCATTTAAATTACTCAGTAAGCCGTTCCTCTTAATCTAAAGATAATCTGTATTGAAGAATGATTTTTATTGAAAAGAATGGAGATATTTTCTTATTTATTCGGAGGCCTAGGGAAGTCNCTCCCCGAAACATATACATATGTGTGTGTATTATATATTCATTATTTGATATTTTTAAGTGGGAAACCAAGCAAAAAATCTTATTACCTTAAGACACATTCCGGCTCTTCTCAAATGTTTATCATCGACAGTTCAGGACCAGTATCCATGTCAAGAACATTCTCTTCACCGGGGAATTTTGAAGGTTCAATTGATCGGCCTATGAGGCTTGCAGAAATATATGTTGCCACGGAGAATGCTTTACGCAATACGATTTCTGATTCAAAACTATGGAATTCGTTAGCCTCTGTTGAGCAATTTGAGGTAATTGGCTGCATCCTCGATTCTTCTTGAAGAAGTGTTGTGTTAGGTTATTATCCAAAGTGGCTTTAATTCAATTAATGTTAATTGACCGGGAACGTTGACAGTGGGCTGAGATGTATATAAATAGGAGTTGTCTCTTTTCTGTCCGATGTTTCATTAAGATAGGTTGAGCTAGTATTATTCAAGCATCTTCAGAAACAGAGGAGATCCTGATTTACCTTTTTATGTGACAATTCCATTTGCATTTGACCATGTCAATACAGATTTGGCTGCTTGTTATAGACTTCTAATAATCTCTTTTTAGGAACTTGTGACATTGGAGCTTAGTATATGTTTAAGATAGATGTGCCCTAAACTGGGAATTGCTTCCTTGGTAACTCTTGTTAGAGACGGTCCATTTTCTTCTCTTCCTTTCCCTTTAACGTTTTTTGGTACGTCAATTTTGGCAATTTAATTAAATCTATCACCTTTCTGTTTTATCCAATGTATGCATTAAATTTCTATAACCTCATGCATAATATGACCTTTTGATTTGCTAGCAAAAATATCTGGATCTGTCAAAGGGTGCTGCAGATAACTACCATCGTTCTTGGTGGAAGAGACATGGAGTTGTCCTGGATGGTGAAATTGCAGCAGTGTACCATAAGCATGAAAATTACTATTCTGCTGCGAATTTGTATGAGAAAGTTTGTGCCCTTTATGCGGGTGAAGGATGGGAGAACCTACTAGCTGAAGTTCTACCGAATTTGGCCGAGTGTCAAAAGATACTCAATGATCAGGCCGGCTACCTCTCGTCTTGTGTGAGATTGTTGTCTGTAGATAAAGGATTGTTCTCAACCAAGGAACGTCAGGCATTTCAGTCAGAAGTCGTCCGTCTTGCTCATAGTGAGATGGAGCATCCAGTGCCTTTAGACGTGTCTTCCTTAATTACATTTTCGAGCTTTCAGGGACCTCCACTTGAGCTTTGTGATGGGGATCCTGGCACACTATCTGTTTCTCTATTGAGTGAATTTCCAGATGATATAACTCTTGAGTCACTCAGCCTCATGCTGACAGCTACGAATAATACTGATGAAGGTGCTAAGGTAGACACATTTTTCCATGTGATCACCAATATCTCTTGATGCCATTTCATGGTAACTCAATTTTTTTTTTTTCCTTATTTCAGGCAATAAAAAGCTCGGAAGCTATTGTACTAAGGCCTGGGAAAAATATTATCACCCTTTCGCTGCCTCCACAAAAACCAGGGTCCTATGTCTTGGGGGTTCTCACTGGGCAGATTGGTCAATTAAGGTTTAGATCTCATAGTTTTTCAAAAAGTGGTCCTGCAGATTCTGATGATTTTATGAGCTATGAAAAACCAACAAGGCCAATTTTGAAGGTATTGTGTGTGTACTGCCAGAAACTGAATAACACTTTTTCTGTGGAACTGGTGAAGCTGCAATTGGAAATATTTTCATTTTTTGAAAATTTTCCTTCAACTTGAGAATAGTTATGGGAAAATTTTGGAGAGAATGAATTTAAGATAAAATTGCGATGATAAAGTTGATAACTTGATATGCCCAAAAAAAAAAAAGGTGAAATTATGACTAAAAATCATTGGTAGTTCGAAAATACGAGTGAATAGTGAATGTGTAGGGAAATGTTTTGCAATGGTTGGTTTTCATTTTCTCAAAGTTACATTGATAAGATTGATGAGCGAAAAGTGAGAATGAGTGAGTATTGTACTTTCCTTAGAACTTCTGTGTCCAATCATAACTTTGTGCAGAAAAAATTTCCTCTAATTGAACAAACCTAAAAGAATTTCTACAATCCAATTGCCGTCCAACTCTTTGAACTGTACTATATTAGATGACTCTTTTCTTATAATTTTCTTCTGGGTTAGGTTGCTAATCCAAGGTCTCTGGTTGATCTTGGTGCTGCTGTTTCATCTGCTTTGCTGATGAATGAATCTCAGTGGGTTGGAATTATTGTTACACCGCTCAACTACTCCCTTAAAGGTGCTGTACTGCAAATAGACACTGGCCCTGGCTTGAGGATCGAGGAGAGTCATTACTTTGAAATTGAGAAGCACGAACTTCGGTTACATAACATAGCCAACTTAGATAACTCACCAAAGAATCTGTCTCCAGTGTCTACTGACGTCAGGCAATTGACTCTTGAAGATGGCAAGATCAAGTTGCCTGATTGGACTAGCAATACTACTTCAGTTCTCTGGATTCCACTAAGGGCTGTTAGTGATGGACTGGCTAAGGGAACACCTGCAGGTTAGTATAATATTTAACATTTCTGGTGGCATTTGCGAGTGATATTTTTCTTTTTAAGGAAGGTGTGGCTATTATCGGTGGCTGTAGGTGCAGTTGTTCCTCAGAGGCAGAGTGTTGTCGATGGTATGAGGACAATTGCTCTGAAACTTGATTTTGGAATTTCTCATAATCAGACATTCGAAAAGTATGGTTCTTTCTTTTGCGTTTATTCAAACTCAATCATTTCAAGTTGTTCTGGGATGAAGTGTGAAATGACTGAACTTCTTTTGCAGGACAATAGCTGTGCATTTCACAGATCCTTTCCATGTGAGTACGCGTGTTGCAGACAAATGTAATGATGGTACCTTGCTTTTCCAGGTACTCATCCACACTCCATTACTTTTCTTTCCCTTTCTGTATTACTAGTACGGTACCCGTGCGATGCACGAGAGCATTTATTACATATTTGTTTTTTATAAGGTTTTTTTGTATTTAAATTGTCTCATGACATTAAAAATATCATGGAAATGAAAATTTATATGTTATCAAACACTTCCTTATGTACAACATTATTGGTTTGATTCATTGACACGTAAAATACTACATAGGTGTTCGAATTTTATCTAAAATTGTATATTATTAGTTATTAGTTAACAATTTTTTTAAAAAAACTAAAGGATCTTATTAATTAAACTAATTATCATAGAAAAAAATAGTAGAAATTTTTAGGGATTTTCACCCATTATTTATTTTAAATCTAAATCTAAATTTCAATTAAGAAAAATTAAAAAGAATCATTAATACTCCTGAAAATAAAACCAATTTTCCTACCAATAATTTTTATCAAACAAATTGATCCGAATATTTTTTTAAACTAAACAAAAAAATCATCAATTTTTCCTTAAAATGCAATCAAATTTTCCTAATACTGCACCAATTTTTTTACCAAACAAATTGAATTGAAAATAATTTGAATAAAAAATTGAAACAATTTGTTAATGTTTATGCAACTGTCTCTTTCCTAAAGAAAATGATATGAACTTAACCAAAAAAAAATGATATGAACTTACTAAAATCTCGGTAAAACATGGTTAAGAAAAAACATAAGAACTCCAAAAAAATCGATGCATTTAAATTTTGAAAAGTTGTACACAATTTTTTCCTAAATAATTGGATATGGTGACTTTAAATATCAAAGATGAACCGTTTTTGTCACCAAAAAATGTGGACACAATTTTCAATATACATCCCGTCCAAATATCAGTTTTATTCTAAAATAAAAATTGCACGTGGTTTTATCCAATTTACACACTTTTTTTTTGAAAGAAAAAATTATTCAATAAGATTGGAAGAATTGGTTAAGAATTATACAACTATTTGTTTCCTAAATTTGTATCCAATTTGTATGGTTTTTAAGTTAATTTGTATTTGGAATTGTTTTCATAAATAATTGACACATTTTTTGTATAAGAATCTCCAAATTTGTTACCAAAAAATATATGATTTAAATTTTGGTAAAAAAATAAAATATGATACGAAAAAAATGGGATTCAAATTTTGCCATAAGAATCTCCAAATTAGTTACCAAAAAAATAGGATTCACATTTTGTTACTAAAGTTTCACATGCATTTTTTAAAACTTTCCATTAATAGTAAGTCAAACATTATATTTATTTGGTCAAACTTTCTATTAATGTATTTTTCCAACAACCTCTTTATATATATATAGATAGATATAGATATAGATATAGATATCAAATGATAGTTCTTTCGGATGCTACTTTTTTCGTTATCTGTTTAACTTACTACCTCCAGAAAATTTTGTGGTCAATCACCTTACAGAGGTGTGGAAACATCTTATATAGCTAACAGTGTAATTCTTATACCACAATGATTTGAGTCCTTGCAACTTAAAGTGCTCATTTTCTTTTTCCTGATTACTGGGCACCACACTCTTAGCCAAGAATAATGTGTTTGTTTCCTAGGTTATGCTGCAGTCACAGGTCAAAGCTTCGCTGGCCATCTATGATGCTTGGCTTGATCTTCAAGATGGCTTTGCCCATGCTGGAAAAGGTGATGGGAGACCAGCTTCAGGCTTCTTTCCTCTAATAGTGTCATCCAAATCAAAAGCTGGAATTTTGTTCAGTATATGCTTGACAGGCTCACTAGCCAAAGGTAGGCTCGGCTCCCCTTTTTCTTTGGGTTATTTACGTTCTGTCTTTGTGGTTTTAAAAATCCCTTCTGTGTTGAAAGAAGCTTGGTTTATTGATTATCTATTTCATGACAGATGTGGTTTAAGTCATGTTTAATCTATTCAAGAACGGATTGTTTACCCCAGAAAATCTGGCATGTAACTGTGTACGAGTTGTTAGTCTAAACCATAAAAAGGTGAAGTTTGTGTTGAATTGGACTGTGTTTAAGTACCGATTGGCTACAAGGTATACAATGAACGTAAAGCACTTTAGTTTGTGGTTCAAGAGCCTTTAGTTTGTCTGCAGAGAAGATTTGGTAGTCTTTAAGCTTTTGCTTACAAAACATGGACTCTTATACGACTGATGAGAGGTTTTTCTTTCAAGGGAATTCAAGCAGTCCTTAATATCTTTATTTATGTCTAACAAATATTTCGTTCTTCTCCAGATGAAGCCAACAAATTGAATCCAGTTAGTATATTAAATATCAAATACACAATATCTGGAAGTAGACATATTGGAGCTCACACCCCTTTATCTGGAGAACCTTCTGGACCTGATAATGATAAGGCTGAGCATTTGACATTTAGGACTGAAATCGTATTACAGAGACCTGTGCTGGACCCTTGCCTTGCTGTTGGTTTTCTTCCTCTCCCTCCGAATGGCCTCAGAGTTGGGCAGCTCGTGACTATGAACTGGCGAGTTGAAAGATTGAAGGCTTTAGACGAGAAAGTGGAATCTGAGAACACTGTATGTCATCTCACTTAAAAGATTGAATTGCTTAACCAATACCTATATCTGGACCGTTTTCCAGGTTTCTTTATGGATCTGAGTGAAACGTAATCAGTACATGAGGAAAAAAATTTGTAGTCATGAATGTTTAGTCCATATTATTCTCTCATCATCTTCAAACTCATCATATGCAAAGTTTGCTTCGAAGAGACCGTCCAAAATTCAATAGCACTGAGTCATTTTACGACCTGTGAATGCCATATTAAAGAGTAGTCATTTGTTATTTCTTACAAAAACTGTATAAAAGTGTAACTACTTACTATTTGCACATAAGCTGGGGAATGGAAATCATTAGTTCCTCTTTTTTTTTGCCTTTTCTATTTGACAGGATGATGTGTTATATGAAGTCAATGTTAATCCTGAAAACTGGATGGTTGCCGGAAGGAAAAGAGGATATGTGTCACTCTCCACCCAACAAGGTAAGATTCTGCTATCCTTATCATCTTTCCTCTTCTAAATTATTTTTCATGGATGTTACATAAACTTGTTGGTATCATTAACAGGTTCGAGGATTGTGATCTCGATATTATGCCTGCCTTTGGTTGCTGGTTATGTGAGTCCACCTCAGCTAAGTCTGCCAAATGTTGAAGAGGCAAATATAAGTTGCAATCCACCTGGGCCCCATTTGGTCTGCGTCTTGCCTTCGGCCCTAAGCTCTTCATATTGTGTGCCGGCATAACGTCTGGTCCGTATATGTGTTGTAGATGTATTCGTGGGTTAGACTTTTTGAATATTTTGACTTTGATGCTGATGATTTTGTTTAGATCTTAAAATTTTGTAGGATTTGTTACATTACTGTTTTCTATATCCATTTTTCCAAAAGCCTCTGTTTTATTGCTGAGGATAGTTTGTGTATTGTTTCTGGGTTTTGTGTATAGTAAGTTGAGTATGGGGCTTTTACAATTTGAGATGGACACATTGGTCAAAGCTGAAATGAAAAGTATTGTTTTCTTTATCTGTTGGGGATTATTTTAGGATTAAATGTGGGAAAAAGATTAGTTGTGGAAGTCCTGAAATTGATTATTTTTCTGATTAGTGAACTTCATTCGATTATTATATGATCAATCTCCAGTTGAGTACTTGGGCAACGTCCATATATCTTTTGGTGAGCCTGCAGTCGTACGGAAATAGTTGAAGTTGGTTATGTCTTTTGAGACTTGTAACGTTGCGCCACCCGATAATTATGTAATTTGTAGAGCTTAAATTGTGGAAATAAGATAATGCAGAATTCATTAATAATTATTATAATATCTAAACTTGCAATATGACATCATTTAAGGGTGTAACGGGATATGAATTTAATTTGGTTTTGATTGGTTTTTTTATTAACTATAGTTAATTTTAAAAAATACGGTATGGTTAATTATTAGTGAAATTTTGAGTTTATATTAAAATAAAATTTGAAATAAGAAAAATTAATATTTTTGTCAAAAGAAAAATTTCAATCCTCTCGCCGTAATCCCCAATCTCTCTCTCTCTCGCCGGCACAATTCGATCAGATCCTGTGCCTTCCCTTCGGCTTCCTTTCTTGCTTGTCGTCTTCTCCTAACCAACCGGCCCCTCCCCTGCGCCGTGCCCCCCCTCACTATGTTCTCCGGTGTTCTTCGGTTGAAAGAACTCGGATCTCCTTCCTCGGCTGAGTCGAGCTGCTCCCCGATCGGAGGCGCCATGGTGGGGTTTTGGTGGGTTACGGTGCAGTGGGTTGAGGTCTGGTTTGGCTCCGGCGGATCGCGGTCTAGGGTTGGAGTGGCAGGGGTTGCTCAGGTGGGTCCGTTCGTGTTTTCTCCTCCTTGGTTCGGCTTGGCGTGGCTAATCGACATCCTCCTCCGTGCGGTGCTTATTGGGTGCGACTCAGTGGGCCGAGGTTGGATTCGGTTCAGCGGCTTTGGGCTGGAGTTTCGACTTCGGGCCGGAGTTTCTGTCTTCGGGCTGGAGTTTGACTTCGGGCTGGAGTCTTTGGCTTCGCGGGTCATCTTGGTAGAGCAGGGTGCGGTTTTATTGGACTGTCTCCTAGCTCTTTCGGTTGGGATAGGGCCGTTTCAGTTTACGGATTTACCTGCAGCTCCGGCAACTTGCGAGTCCGGGCTGGTGTGGCCGGGGTTGAGACGTTGGGAATGCTCCACCTTCCCCGATTCTCTGGTGTTGGGTTCAGGGGCGCTCGCCATTAATATTGTGTCCGCTAGTGGTGTTAGTCGGCCCGGTATTGCGGTGGTTGGGAGTTTTCTTGATGTTTTTTGGCTATGGGGAGAATCGGCTGTGGGTGTATTTTGATGCTCGAGATTAGGCTCAGCTAGGCAGTTTGGCAGTGGAGGGGTCGAATTTCTCGGGCTGAGGGACTTCCATGGCTGGTTTTGTGACTGCAAGTTGGGTTTGGATTTGCCGAAGTGGAAGGGCTTTAGTTTCCTTTTAGTTTCCTTCTTGTTTGTTTCTTTGTTTGATTTGTGTGGTAGGTTGGTGTTTTTGGTGTGGGCTCGTTGCCTGTGTATCAAATGTTCGTGTTTTTGGTTTGGGCCGTTGGCCCTTGTGAGCCCGAGTGTCAAACTTATTACTCCGTGGGGGTCCGACACTCGGGTATTACTCCGTTGGGGGTCTTGTTTAGTTTTGCTGGTGTAGTTGGTTTTGTGTGGTTGTGTTTTTTGTTGTTTTCGTATGTGTTGTCCGAGTATTACCCCGTTGGGGTCGGCTCTAGGCGATCTCCGGATCTGCCTCCCAGTTTTCTAGTCTCTGGTTGTACTATTCAGCCTTTGGCTGCTTTTTCTTCGCACTTTGTGCGGTTTTATAAATATAGTACCTCTATCGTTTCGGAAAAAAAAAAAGAAATAAAAAAAATTAAAGTTGATTTAAGGGACACTTCTTTTAAAATACCTAAATCTCTTTTCAAATTCCTTCTAACTCCCCACCACTTTTAAAATTCCTCCTAACTCCCTACCCCCTTAATAAACTTCCTCTTAAATCCCTTGTATTAAAATAAATAAAAAAAATACTTTATGACACCACCCCCACTAACATATTCTCTTTGTCATTAATTTATTATTTTTCTTATACAACTATTACACAAATAGTCACCCACCCTGCACTACACTTTTTCCATCCCCTCCCCACTTTTTCCCAATCACGATTTCTCCTCTCCGTTTTCCCCTTCCCGTTCCCATCCTTGCCCAGCTTTTAATTAATTTTTTTTTTCGCATCTGTAACTCGCCGGCTAGTATCTGTAGAGAATAAGTCCTGCAACAACAAACCGAGGCAACTAAATTATTCCGACGACAATCTTCTCCCGGCGAAAATTGATATTTATCCGGCAACATTGAGCCTTTTTTCCGGCGAAAACTTGAAGTAGTAAGTAATATATGTATTACATGAGGACTTTGGAGTCCAAAAATCATCTTTAATTCATATATTTTTGGTGAATTTGTTATGGATTGAAGTTTGATTAGTGTTGTTCATATTTACCCTAATTTATGTTATTGTTAGGCTATGTTAATTTGCTCTTCATGTATACCAAATTGATGTTATTATTAGGCTATGTTAGGTGTTATTCACCATAAAAAAAAAGATTAGAATAATTATAGTACCACTATTTTGTATTTTGGTACCTCTGTTTGTTTATATAGTACTGCGTTTCTAACTATTTGGTACCATATCTACTGGGAAAAATGTGAAGTTGTTTTGTTTTATCCAATTTTTTTTAGAACCATGGAAGGAGCACAAAGTGATATATTAGGGAGTTGTACCTACAAAAATGAATTGTATGTATTCTCTATGAGCCTTGGATCAACGCTTGACGAAGTGTACACTCACATTGGTAAGAGGTGGCCGAATTTTAGTTGGGAAACCGTCATGTTAACCTATATTGCGCCGAAGGAAAAAAAGAGAGTTAATTTGTCCGATGATGAGGATGTGAGAAACATGATTCGGCTACATCTTTGTTGGAAAATAAATATTGTAGATATAGTTGCCATTGAAAGAAATGAAAACCCGGCCATTGGAAGAAATGAAAGATGGGATGATGGACCGATGAGCATGAGCCGGTAATGTTGCTTTTCTATTATTAATGAATTTACTATTGAAATATTGTGTATTTGTATCTTCATTAATTTTTTTAACATGAACACAGGAGAAATGTACCTTCTTTTGATTTCTCGAATGGAGAATCGGGGCCGTTAGTGCAAGATAAATTGATTGATTCTTAGAGATATTGCATCAAAGGAGAGGGACAGATATTTGGGGCGGCGCTGATGAAATCCGAAAGAGCGTTAAAAACTACGCAATTGCAAATAGACGATCTTTTAAGTATCGAAAAAATGATCAGCAGAAGGTGATTGTTTGTTGTAGCGATGAGGGTTGTGATTGGAGAATATATGCCTCAAGATACAAAGGTGATAATTTGTTTGCCATTCGGAAGAGCAATCTAGTCCATACTTGGGGAGTCTCCAATCTTCGGACAAGGGGGCATCCGAAAGCTGACTCTCATTGGGTATCTAATACAATTAAAGACAAATTGAGAGATGATCCGAGCTACAGGCCTTGCACGATATTGCAAGATCTTCACAGGGACTATTGCTTGGAGTTGCCTTACCCTTACAAAAAGGCATGGTTAGGAAAGGATCTTGCCATGGAAGATATTCATGGAGTAGACAAGGGCTCTTACGATAAATTGAGATGGTATTGTGATGCAGTGCGGGAGACAAACCCGGGAAGCATTGCGGATTGTGAGATTAATCCTGTGGAGAATAAGTTTCGCCGACTGTTCATTTGTTTGCATGCTTGTCTTGTTGGTTTTTTAACCGGTTGTCGACCGTTGATATTTTGGATGACACCCACATCAAAAATAAATACAAAGGTTGTTTGCTTAGTGCTGTGAGTAAGGATGCCAATGATGATTTGTTCAATGTAGCTTTTGCCGTGGTTGATGGCGAGATGGATGAAAATTGGGAGTGGTTTTGCTTGAAGCTGAATCATTGTTTACTTACCTCGCGCTTACCTGTTCCTAATAGCTTCACGTTTTTTACGGACCGACACAGTGGGCTACTTAAAGCCATCCCTATGGTTTTTCCTAACAGCCATCATGCTTATTGTTTGAGACATGTAGTCGACAATTTTAAGAAGCAGGTATGAAACTTAATTATTCTGTTTATATTAATAATAATCTTAATTAATCAATAATTATTCATAATTATGTACATTCAGTAATACTATTATTATGTACATTCATTCACAATAATGCATTCATAGTAATACATTCAGTAATAGTAAACTTAGTTATTCTATATTTTGTAATACATTCTACTATTATTATTATTATTATTATTGTTATTATTATTATTATTATTATTATTATTATTATTATAAACAGAATAATTTTCCTTTCCTAACATCCATTCTATCATATTATAGAGTAATGTCATCTTCCCATAATAATGCTTAGTACTAATAATGCTAACAAAATGTAATGCTTATTACTAATAATGCTATAATAACAACCATTTTTTTAATTAATAGAATGTAATACCATTGTTCAACATAGAATGTAATGCCATTTTGTAACATAATGTAACAACCATTTTATTACTAATAATAACAGAATGTAATGCCATTTTTTTTTTTTCAGGTTTTGAGGAGCTACCCACTTCATAATAAGAAACATTGGTCCTCGATTTTTATGAAAGTTGCGTATGCTCCTAGAAGGCAAGAATTTGATATGTATATAAATAATATATTGACTGCCATGCCTCTTGCCATAAAGTTCATTCAGGAATCTAACCCACATTGTTGGGCGAATTCTTTATTTCCTGAAGACCGTTGGGGAATCATCAATAATAACCAAGCCGAATGTTGGAATAATTGGGTAAATTCGGCACGATTTATGCCTATCATAGCCATGGTAGATCACATAAGAAAACAAATTATGACCATGATGCATGATCGGCGTGAAGAAGGGTCGCGGTTTAATGGCCAATTGTGTCCTAAGCTTGAGAAAAAAATTGCATCTTGCTACAATGGTTCCTGGAGTCTCAAAATTAGTCAATCAAGTGAT